TCAGCCCTGTGCTCCAGACCCCTCACCATTTCATTGCCCTCCTTTGAACGCGTTCCAGGCCCTCCATGTCTTTCTTGCAGTGAGGGGCCCAAAACTGGACACAGTAAGTGCTAAGTGATGCTAAGTGGTCTCCCAAGAGCAGAGGGAGGAATGGGAGCCGTCGCTTTGGAGGTAACGCGTCTCCGGATCTCTGCTGCAGAACCTCGCCCCCATGGCCGTGTTTTCTTCTCTCTGTCATTTCTTGGCGTTTTTGGCCGAGGTTGGAAAATGTTTTCCTGCCAATTGTGAAGCTCTCTGTCAGCGCCTCGCCCAGCTCTCCTTGCTTGGAGGTTGGTCGATGCGTTTGAAGGTAACGCTCATCCTTCTGTTTGCCATCCAAACGCCCCTCTCTCCGGATTTGGGCTTCTGGGGCTGAATCTGGGCAAATCCCAGTGGAAAAGCTCTAAAAAAACAGTTTGACCATCATGGGGTCAAAGTCAGACTGCATCTGTCGACAGATTCAGCTGTGTATGGACAGGCAAGGCTGTGGAGACAGCAATGCTCCCACATGAGATGGGTCCTTAAGGGCCACAGAACCACGGAAGGGGTTGGGTTGGATCATCGATCCAGCTGATCACTGAAGCACAGAATAGGTTGGAAGGGTCCTTAAAGGTCACAGAACTCCTTAAGGGCTTCGGTTGTAAGAGTCCTCATAGATCATAGAAGCACCAAGTGGGTTGGAAAGGTCCTTAAAGATGATCGAGCCATGTAACGGGTCAGGTTGGGAGGGTCCTCAAGGTCATAGAAGCTTAGAATGGTTTGGAAAGGTCCTTAAAGATGATAGAGCCATCGAAGGAGGACACGATGGCTTGATGGTGATAAGGGGAAAGCAGCTCTGGTGCTGCACTTGAGGAGAATGGGGCAGCTCAAAGGGAGACCTGGGGTGCACCAGGACCAAATGCTCAAAACCGGCACCAAAAAGGGATTGGAATCACAGAATCAAACACAGAACCACAGAATGGGGTTGGAAGGGACCAGAGAGATCATGGAATTATAGAGCCATGGGGTTGGGTTGGAACAGACCTTCAGGATCATAGAACTGTGGGGTGGGTTGGGGTGGAAGGGCCCTCGAAGATCATAGAAGCACAGAGTGGGGTTGGAAAGGTCCTCAAAGATCATAGAAGCACAGAATGATTGGGGTTGGAAAGGTCCTCAAAGATCATAGAATCACAGAGTGATCGGGGTTGGAAGGGTCCTCAAAGATCATAGAATCACAGAGTGGGGTTGGAAAGGTCCTCAAAGATCATAGAAGCACAGAGTGGGTTGGGGTTGGAAGGGTCCTCAAAGATCATAGAAGCACAGAGTGGGTTGGGGTTGGAAGGGTCCTCAAAGATCATAGAAGCACAGAGTGGGGTTGGAAAGATCCTTCAAGACCGTAGAACCGTGGGATGGTTGGGTTGGAAGGGATCACAGATCACCCATCCAAACCCCAGGCTGAGCAGCGCTGCGCTCACACCCCACACCACGAGGTCGTTCCGCTCCAGCTGGGCTTGGATTCGAGCAGCATTCATGACCCAACGCTTGGTAGCATTTCACACCTGTCAAAAAATTCCACGCGAACGCGTCGGCCCTCTTTCATTGTTGGGCCGTGGTTGTGGGGAGCTTTTTTTGTTGTTGTTGGTTTTATTTTTACTATTTCACTGAAGCAGCAGGATGTTGGATGTTGGGAAGGGGACGGATTTGGCCTCAGCTCAGGTTTTGTGCCTGCAGCACCCTCCCGTATCGCCCTTCTTCCACCAGCAGAAGCTGACAGCTAAAGGGCTGCTCGCCGCTCCTGGCCTCTCCATCATTGTTTTTATTTTTCAAGTGTAAATTACAGGAAAAAAGACAAAGAGAAAAAGGGAGAGACGCTCGCAAAGGCACACAAAAGGAGAGAGAGAAATCCCACCCCGTTCTGCTCGTCCCACACACCGCAGCCGAAAGCCACAGCGCAGCACAAATCCATGGTGGTATTTGGAAGGGATGAGCCCACCCCTGTAAGCCCCTTCATCCCGCTCCGCTGAGTTTGCCAGGAGGATTAACCCAGTCTTGTTCTCAATCCCAGTTTATGAGTTCCCTGCTGGTGGGGAAGATCCTGTGTGTTTAAACAACAGCCTAATTAATCCCTATTTTATTACTTTCCCTTGTCAAGTGGCTAAATGGGAGCTGTCAGCCGGCAGCCACCGCCGCTCGCATTTGTTTAGATCCCAAATTACTTCATCAGAACCATCTGCTCCGCACGCAGGGCACTTGGTGGTTGTTTGTTTCTCTCTCTGGACACAGTGAGGGGCACAAACAGCGTCTGGGAGAGGGGGGACGGTCCTGGAGGGATCCGCAGAGGAAATCCTGAGCATGGAAAATCCAGGCACTGAGCAATGGAAAGGAAAAGAGGACCCCAAAATCACTTTTCTTGCCGGGGATGTGTGGGTGCAGCTCCAGGCGTCCCCCTCCTTCCTTCCTTGGCTTCCTGAGCCCCTTAAATTGGGTGTTTTCTCTCTGAAAAAGAGCAGAGGAGGGGGGGGGACTCACTGCAGTGTCCCAGCACTGAAAGGTGTTTACAAAGCAGGCAGAGGCTCGAGGAGATGTGGGGCAGAGGCTACGAGCTGCTCATTCCATTCTTATAACACTAACCCCATGGTTCTGTGATCTGTAAGGACCCACTCAACCCAATCCCACCCCACAGTTCTATAACCTTTAAGGACCTTTCCAACCCAACCCCATCCCATGGTCCTGTGATCTGCAAGGACCCATCCAACCCAACCCCATCCTGTGGTTCTATGATCTTTAAGAACCCACTCAACCCAATCCCACCCCACAGTTCTATAATCTTTAAGGACCTTTCCAACCCAACCCCATCCCATTGTTCTATGATCTTTAAGGACCCACTCAACCCAATCCCACCCCACGGTTCTATAACCTTTAAGGACCTTTCCAACCCAGCTTCATCTCAAGACAAGAAATCAATGTCTGGCCCTGGGAACAACCAACCCCTGGCACAACTTCCCAGGGAGGACAGAATCCCCATCGCTGGAGGAACCTCAAGGTGCGACTGGAAAGGGCAAAAATCTCCTCCAATCCCCTCCGCCGATTTACTGCCCGTCTGCCTGTCGCAGTAACGCTCCTTACTGCGCTACGGGAAAGGAAACATGAAATTCGATGCTGTTTCCCTGGCAAATCCTATTGGTGGGGGGAAATCCTGATCTGAAAGGGCCGGACGGGGGAATCCTTTGAGCTATCGGTGCGGCACGCGTTAATTACTGATGGCGCTTTTTTGCATGAAGTCTGCCTTGGTGTGACAGCTCCAACCCAATCTGTTCCCCAATTCTCCCCTTCCCCGAGCTCCTGACCCCAAGTTTTGCTTTGCAGGCTCTTCCAGACCAAGTGCAGCAGCTGCCTGAAGGCCATCGCTCCCTCCGAGCTCATCATGCGGGTGCTGGAGAACGTCTACCACGTCCACTGCTTCTATTGCTGCGAGTGTGAGCGGCGTCTGCAGCGGGGAGACGAGTTTGTGCTCAAGGAAGGGCAGCTGCTGTGCCGCAGCGACTACGAGAAGGAGAAGGAGATGCTGAGTGCCATCAGCCCCACGCCAACCGAGTCCGGTGAGGAGCTGGAGAGGCGGAGAATGAGGCCGGTGGGGTGGGATTAATGGTTGTGGTGGGATTCGGGCAGCGTGCCCACAGCAGGGGTGGGGATGGGGGAGCTTTTGGGTCTCTTCTAACCCAACCACGCTGTGGTTCCATGATGTGTAAGGTTTCATTCAAACGCAACCCGTTCCATGGTTCAATTATCTTTAAGGACCTTTCCAAGCCAACATGTTCTACGATTCTACAGTATTTGAGGACCCTTCCAACCCAACCCAACCCAACCATTCCATCATTCCATGATCTTTGAGGTCCCATCCAATCACTTTTAAGGACCCTTCCAACCCTAACCATTCTATGACTCTGTAGTCTTTGAGAACCCTTCCAACCCAACCCAATAATTCCACCATTCTCTGATCTTCAAGGTCTCTTTAAATCCAACCATTTCATGGTTCCACGACCTTTGAGGTCCCAACCATTCCATGGTTCCACGACCTCTGAGGTCCCATCCAACCCAACCATTCCATGGTTCCACGACCTCTGAGGTCCCATCCGACCCAACCATTCCATGGTTCTATGACCTTTAAGGACCCTTCCATCCCACCCATCCAACCACTCCATGGCTCTGTGACCGTCACACTTTGGCCACAGCTCAGCCCATGAGCTCCGCTGCCTTCATTCCGTTCTTCTGGTCAAAACTGCACACTGAGAGGAGCAAAACTCAGCATTCCTTTGTGTTTTCGCCCCGAAATTCACCTCTCCCCATCTTCCCCTGCAGTGAAAAGCGAGGATGAGGACGGCAGCCACTCGCACGGCAAAGGCAGCGAGGACAGCAAAGACCACAAACGCTCCAAGCGCCCGCGCACCATCCTCACCACGCAGCAGAGGAGGGCATTCAAGGCTTCGTTTGAGGTCTCCTCCAAACCCTGCAGGAAGGTACAGCGGGGCAGCCCAGTGGGCACGGAGCCCGTTGGGGCCTCGTTCATTTCTGAACTCAGCTCTCCTCTTCGTTTATGCTTGATAGGTGAGGGAGACCCTGGCGGCGGAGACGGGGCTGACGGTGCGGGTGGTGCAGGTGTGGTTCCAGAACCAAAGAGCAAAGGTGGGTGAGGGGAAAGTCCCACATTCGTTCCGCTGCAAGAAAACAAGAGAGAAAAAAAAAGAAAAGAAAAAACAAAAAACCTGTTCTGTGGGATCAAACCACACGTGGTGGGGTAGCGTTGGATGCGCTGGAAGCAAAAGCTTGGAGAGGAACACAGGAAACGCAGAGGTGTTTGCAGAGCTGAAATGTTTTCCTTTTTGTTGCCTTTTTTTAATGGCTCTTTTTGCGTTTCCCCCTCTCCGTGCGTGATGAGGAAGAGGAGGAGGATTTCCCACTTCTTTTTCCCTAGAACCCTTTCATGTTGCAGAATGCAAAGGGTGAGGGCAGAAACGAAGCCCTCAAACGCCTCAGATGGCATTTCCTAACAGAAATGTGCGGCCCTTTCCTGGCGGCCCCATTGCTCGCACCTTGCATGGGGTGAGGAGGAGGGGTGTGAGAGGGGATGCATGACGGCAATCCTCGCTGCCTATGAAAAGTGGGAGGCACCCGCATCCCCTCCTGCCTCAGAACCTCAGGTTTGGGGTCTCCTTCTTCCTGCAGATGAAGAAGATTGCACGCAGGCAGCAGCAGCAGCAGCAGCAGCAGGAGCAGGAGCAGATGGGCAATCCTCGCCTGGGGTCCGGGAGGGGGACGGGGCGCAGCAGCAGGCAGAGCAACGACGACAGCGAAGGTGAGGAGCACTGAGCACTGATGGGGGGGGGGGGCGGCTGCATAGGGGCTATCGAGGCCAAAAGCCTCAAAATCAGCCAAAATCTGCAATTTTAGGATTCCGGGATTCCACCATATTCTGTGGTTCTGGGATTCAAGGGTTCTGTGATTCTATGGCATTTTAGGGTTTTGTTATTCTAGGATTCTGGAGTTCCGATGGTACCCAATGATTCCAGGATTCATCAGATCTAGGATTCTGTCATTCTGTGATGTCCAGATTCTATGATATTCTATGACTCCAGGGTTCTGTGATTCCAGGATTCTGGAATTCGATGACACTAGGATTCCAGGATTCCAGGATTCCATGATTCCATGATTCTATGATTCTATGATTCTACGCTTGTAGGATTCCATGATTCTATAATTTTCTGATATCCCCTGACTCTAGAATTGTGTGATTTTAAGGTTCTGTGATGATTCCAGGATTCTATGATGCTCTAAGACTCCACGACAGTCTGTGACACGTAGGGTTCTGTGATTCTTGGATGTCGCTATCCTGGGGTCGTATAATTCAGTGATATTCGATGACTCCAAAATTCTGTGATTGTAGGATTCAGGAATTAGATGATAGGATTCTAACACCTTCGCCCCACCGCTCTGCGCCCCTTCTCCCCCTCCGTCCCACGCTTCTGTCTTTAGATGGTGCAAGCGTTCACGGCCTGGATGGGCTGATGGTCCCATATCCCCGGCTCCCCCAGCAGCAGCTGCTGCCCCTGGACCAGAATGGCTACAGCACGGACCTCTACAGGCAGGGCCTCACCCCACCACAGCTGCCCGGAGACCACCTGCACCCCTACGGTAGGAGAGCAACTCCCAACCCACCAACACCATCCAACCCACCAACGCCATCCAACCCACCAAAGCCATCCAACCCACCAAGGCCATCCAACCCACCAAAGCCATCCCACCCACCAAGGCCATCCCACCCACCAAAGCCATCCAACCCACCAACGCCATCCAACCCACCAAGGCCATCCCACCCACCAAAGCCATCCAACCCACCAAGGCCATCCAACCCACCAAGGCCATCCAACCCACCAAAGCCATCCAACCCACCAAAGCCATCCCACCCACCAAAGCCATCCAACCCACCAAAGCCATCCCACCCACCAAGGCCGTCCAACCCACCAAGGCCATCGTTGGGTTCCATCCAAACAGACAGTAGGGGTTGGGTTTGGGTCCCAGGGGATGGACACAGCCTCCAGGCTGAGCCCTGCTAAAGGCTGGGGTCCCGTGAAAGGTGAGTTGGGGTGAGGCTTGTGAAATCCATCCTTGGGTTCCACCCAAACGGCCAACAGGAGTTGGATTGGGGGCTCCTGCTCCTATTGGGTGGCTCCGACTCATGGTGGGCGACTCCAGGCCCCGCTGCAGCGACACGACAGCTCGCCATGCTCGTGCCGCACGGACGCCCATTCTTCTTTCTTTCTTCTTCCAGATTCAGAAGGAGTTTTCCATGACATGGACAGCGAGAGCATCAGCCACCTGGGGGACTGCCTGCTGTCGACGGCCGAAGCCAACCTCCTGCAAGCCCGCGTGGGCAACCCCATCGACCGACTGTACTCCATGCAGAGCTCCTACTTCACCTCCTGACCTTCAAACAGCTCTCCACCAGGACCCACCAGGACCCACCAGTATCTCGGACGGGTGCTGCTCTGGGTTCGGACACGAGACATTCCTTGAGTGCTGCACAACGGAGGAGGCGGCGGATCCGGCCCACGCAGAAACGCTATTCTGCAACCCGAAGGACTCGGGGTTGCCTCTCTCCTTATTTTCTATCCTCAATGGACGGTATGATGTTGTTTAGCTGTTCCTTTAGCAGTTTGTCCCGTGTTTGAGCATGACGTCCTTCCGACACAGACTGGCCAAGCCGAGCGGAGCGGCCCCAAGCAGCAGCGCAGGCTTCTTCCTCTTGTTTATTCAATCCCTGCTGCGCTGGTTTGCCTCGTTCCTCAGCCCAGACGCTTTGTGGAGCAAGGTTAACTTCCAACAAGGTCCTGAGGCCTCTCCAAGGGACGCCTCTCTGCTCCATGCCCCTCTTCACGGCCACCGCAGGGCAGTTTTCATCTGACATTTCAGAAAGGCGCCGTCGCCTGGCTTTGGAATGAAACAGCTGGGATCAGTGTCTGCCTCCAGAAATGGGAGCATTTCTGCTCCGTCAAGGATGCCAAGAGGAATGTGGCAAAACTGCAGCGAGTTCCCCATTGCTGTCACACCTTTTGTCCTCCAAAAGGGCGCTTTTACTCCGTTTGTGGACAGAGCACAAAATCACAGCTGCCAGCCGTGCTCCTTTCTGCTTTTTTTCTTTTTCTTTTTTTTTTTTTTCCGTTTTAAAACAGCAAAGCGAAGAGGATTTGCTCCAAAAATATTCCTGCTGGAAAGCCTTTATAGCTTTGCCCACAGCAGGTTTTTTTGGCAACCCTGCCCACGGCAGGTGGGTTGGAACAAGATGACTTTTGAGGTTCTGCCCAACCCAAATCATTCCATCGTTCTGTGATCTTAAGGTCTCCTCCAACCCAAACCATTCCAT